TAAAGCAACGAGACATAACAGGGTTCACGTACTGCCTACTTTATCAACTAATCAGTGCAAAGTGGGAAATACGAGAAAACTTCCTCTTTTGGTTATCATTTGGTGCCTATTCAGTTGGGGGATCCTTACTGACGTCACCGCAAACGGCTTTGTTAAGTTGTGTATATACAGTCGAACCTCCGGTTGCGACGACCACTCGTAAGCGACCACCTCTCCTCAGCGACCAGTTTTCAAAAAGTTTCCCAGTCAAATCACTACATTGGGAACCTCTTGTAAGCGACCGCGACCACTTTTGGAGCTAACAGTTTGAAGTTTTCTTTTGTTTTTAACCCCCCGTAAACGACCACTTGACAGATAATAGAGAGGAAATTGGACAATAGGGTGTTGTAACATTATCGTATTCCTGGCTAGTACAAGAGACGGAAATTTTTCAATGGAAGAACCGGATTTTTTCTCGAAATTGACTTTTCACATGAATAAAACATTGCATCGGCATTGGCGCGTGGGATAAGTCTCTGTAGTTACCATATTTTAATGAGGCAAAATTTCGATTCAGTATGATCTAAACTCTCGTTAGCGACCACCTAGGCTTGACATTTTGGGTGGTCGCTTACGGGAGGTTCGACTTAAATTGCGATAATCAGCCACGTCTTCATATCTTTCTCAGCAGTTCAAATATATGATCTTTCATATATTCAGTTAAGAGATAGTAAAACTTAATGCATGGTGAAATTTTGAGCTCTTTGGGTGTAATATTCAAGGATAATTTGTCTTTCAAAAACTGTAATTTTTTTTTCTGGGTGGCAAAAGTACTAATGAGGACAGACATTCTTTGTAAAATTTCGAGTTTTTAACCCGCGTCACAAAAAAACGTGGGCTCAAATTCTTCGGCAGAGTTAAATCGTGCTATAAGTTTTCAACATTGAGCACTGATGTTTTTGAAGCTCCATCGGAAACTCAATCATGAGACAAATATTGTAAACTAGGATTACCCTATTGTCTCTGGCCTCCATCAGAGGTTAAAGAGGAGGGCCTGGGAAGAGAAGAGACCCTGGGAACGAGGTTGAGTAGAAGAGAGTACAACTATGGCTAGCTACTATTCGAAACAAGAAAATATGAAAAAATGTCTGTTTTTATTTAATTTATGTTTTTTCTTACACTCTGTTACTGTCTCACACTCTGATAAATAATTTTATTCACTATAATTACAGAAAGACAAAATATGTGCATTTATTCACTACCACAACAGCTACATGTATCTTACACTATGATTCACAATATAAATACAAATACATAACCAAACACACAAAGAAAACTACTGCTATCTAGACATTAAAGTCAATGAGAAGGGATCATCTGGCAAAAACTTGGTTTGCTCTGAAACAAAAACAATGAGAAATTATTACCTCATTTATTCAGGTAGTGATAAATTTATGGAGGCAAGGGGGAAGGGGGGTGGATAATGGTTAGTGCGGCATACTAGATGAAGGTTTGAAATTTACCTCAATCTTCCTGAAATTATTTCATCCTACTACCAATAGGACTACCATCCTATTTTTACTTTTTATCTAATATAATCTCTGGTGTTTTTCTTCGTTGGCATAGATAGTTTCGTTACCTGATGCCACAAACTTACATGACAGATGATTACTACAAGTTTATGACCACTGACCTGTTTGGTATTCTGAGCCTGCACTTGTGGCAATCTCTTTCCAGTCATATATATACCTGAAAATGATGTGAACAGACATTGGTGGATGCTAGTCTGTGATACTGCATGTAACAAAATAAGTAAAACTCAAAACCTGGACAGTGACAGACTGTAGGCCACACATTTTTTGGCCAAGGTTGCAGCAGATATTTTTTTCTGCTGTGTTGTTACCAATCTTGCAATCGTGAACTCGCATGGGAAATGAAAAAAAAGGACAAGATCTGTAGTGGGGGTTCAGGATAGTGGATAGTACAATATGACTGAAAAAGTGCATTCAGGGGAAGAAGTTCGAGATAACCGAGAATAAGAAGTAGTCGAGTTGGAGATAGTGATGGGTCAAACATGGTATTGTTGATGTACATCAAAACAAAACCCTTAGTTGATCATCTCTTTTTACTAAAACCTAGTTTGTTTGATGTCAAATACAGTTGTAATTCAGTTAATGAACACCTTCCTCAGGTGGACACCTCCCATAACCAGACAGTCAGGCATAGTCCCAGCTATAGTACATTTGTTACCTTCCATGGGCAGACACCACTACTGAGCAGATATCTTTTTGGTTTCCAGGGTGTCTGCTTACAGAAGGTCCATTCAAAATAATGTCTGGATATTGAAAAGAAAGACCAATTGCTGATCAACATACTGGTCAAAATTCAGTCCATTAGTCCACTCCAATAGTTCATCCACCTCCCAATCTTCCACAGCATCCTGGCCGCGGGTGTCTGTGATAGCAAGCATTCCTTCAGCTACTGACTGCACAACTTTCTTTGTCTCTACATCTCCTCCATGCCTGGCCTTTAGCATACCCTCCTTGTACCTTTAG